ATAAAGTACGCAATGAGCCTGAGCTAAATAAATAAAAATGCCACACTTTTCCCCAACGGAACTTTCTGCGTCACTGAGAAATATTTGCAGACCTCAACAATCTTTTATCTTCACAATGACGTCTAGCCTTCCAAGCTGTGGACATTCTGAGAACTCCTTTGATTTGGGCCCTCTAATTATCTTATGAGAACAATTAACTTATTAACTAATAATGTCATTATTTGATGTTTCATCAAGCAGACATTAGAGAACCAACCCCTTCTTCCTCTCATGGTCCGACTGCCCTCCTCCAGGGCTGTCTAAAATCGTTACTCATGTCTAGGGCTCACACTAGAAGGAGACGTGTATGGCAAGGGATTTCTGTCTTAATACTCATCACCACCAATCACAGTGTCTGGGCTGAGGAGGAGGGCAACATCCACTCTCCTACTATGCACCCATCTACCCACCCACCCATACACTCACTGTGCCAACACAGAGACTCCAAGATGGACAGGATGTGTGGTCCATGCCCACAGGGAGCTCACACAAAGAGATGCCCTGGGAGGCTCAGAGTGATGTCACCTCTTCCAGGGATGTTCCTGAAGGGTGCAGACCCTTGACACTGTCTTCCTGCTCAGCCTCCTGCTCTTCCAATTTATCTCCGCTTTATTTCTCTCAGTCCCCTGGGCAAAGCCATGAATGAGCTCCACGGGTACATAATAATTGCTCAATAAACACTGTTGAATAAACAAATACACGTACAACCCATATTTAAAAGATAAAATAAAAAGAGAAATAGATAGACAGAAACATCTGTTCATGTGAGTGCCTGAGTCTCTGCTTTAATTACTGATGGGAGCTGATGCCCAAAATGTTTGAGTCAGTATGATGTTTGGGAATGAAAAGCTGTAACTCAGGACCAGGGGCCACTTGGAGCCTCTTTACTCAAGTCTGAAATGGGTAGCTGGACGACATGCTCCCCAGTTCCTTGAGTTTAGGAGTCTGTGGAAACCTAACATCACCGTGAGAATTAGTCAAACTGCAGCCTTAGGGAAAACTGGCATGGGCCAGGAGCCACTGCTGCCTCCTGCCTTCCCCAGTTAGCAGTGAGAGACTCTGGCCCCAGCCTTGTGATTGTGCTAAGTTTCCTCATCTATTCAGTAAGAACTGGGGGGGAGGGGTACTCAAGTAGATGCTTTCTAAGGTTCCTCCTCCATCTACACTTTTATGGCTTTAGGTTTAAACCACTGGCTATGATTAAATTTGAGTATGGCAAGCACATGTCACAATTTTTTTTTTAAATATATACTGATTTCAGAGAGAGTAAGGAAGAGAGACAGAAAGTTGAAACATCAATGATGAGAGAGTCACTGATCGGCTGCCTCCTGCACACCCCCGACTGAGGATCAAGCCCACAACCCGGGAATGTGCCCTAATGGGAAATTGAACAGTGACCTCCTGGATCCTAGGTCAATACTCAACCACTGAGCCACGCCTGGCTGGGCATATGTCACAATTTTTTTTAAACCTAATTTCCAATATTTTACCTCACCAATTCCTTCACTCACTCAATATTTAATGAGCTCCTATTATGTTCCAGGCACTGTTCTAGTGGTGAATCAGACAAGACATGGTCACTATTGCTATGGGACATCCAGTCCAGTGGGGGAAACAGAAAACACGTCAACAACTAGATGACAGATGACTTCAGCTGGAGACACCGGCACAGAACGTTAACAAACAGCACCATGTGAAAGGCAGGAACTAGAGGGAGAGCATGACTCCATTCTAGAGGCGGGTTGGGGAGGCTTCTCTATGGAGGTGACATCTGAACTGGGACCTAAAGGCCCTGGGTAATTTGTGAGGGAAAGCATTCTAGGGCATAGCAGTGGCAAAGGCTCCAGGCTGGAGACAAGCTTGGGGTATACGAAGAACAAAAAGGTGACCAGTGAAGCTCGTGTCTGGGGAGGAGGGAGTGATCCAAGATGCAGGCGAGGGCTGAGGGAGGAAGGGCATTGCCAAGAGGCCCATGAACAGAATGCAGGAGGTCCATGGACTTGGATGGAGGAAAATGTCATCTTACTGTTCACCGACTACTAACTGAAAATGAGCACTTCCTTCAGTCACATATGGCTACAACCCATAGTGATGTGAGCGGTGCGGGGACTCATCAACAAGGAAAATCACAGATCCATTCCTATCACCCCAGTTACAGAAATCTGGAAGTGTCTGCTCATCACAAATTCAAAATCACAGTAGCTAGCAGACCAGCTGCCGATCTTACTATTTAAAGTATTAACAAAGAAGCACACATACTTCAATATCATAAATTTGAAAAGTATCTAATCTCTGTATTTCATAACCCCATGTATTTTATTTTATATATGTAAAAGCATCGTTCTGAAAGGGGTCTCTAGGCTTCACCCAATGGCCAACGTGCTTATAAGCCACAGTCGGGGGTTTGGGTTTTGCTCCAGGTGGGATGGAGAACTGCTGCAGTGGTGTCTGCAGGGGATTCCGTTTTCATTTCCAGAGTCACCCTGGCTGCTGGGAGGAGCTGGCCTGTGGCTGTGCAGGGCAGTGCTGAGGGCAAGAGGGGGTGTGGCTAAGCAGACCACTGTTCTGGGCAATCCAGAAGGGGCATCGTTCTTGGGTCCTCCTAGGCTCTGCCCTTCCCTTTGATCAAGAACCTTCCCACTGCACCACCCTAAGCTGTCCTCTGTCACCCTGGCCTGCAGCCTATCCCAGGACATCCTCCCAAAGAGCTTCAGAAAGTGAGCTCATGAGTCCACAAGGAAAATAAATGTGGTCTCTGCCACTGTTTGGTTTGTGTCTCGGTCTAGAGAAGCAGTGAGATTTTTATTTAAGCAACCTTCCAGCAGGACCCCAGCAGAGGCTGGGCAAACACCAGGGCGACGGACTGTAAACAGGCGGGAAGGCCTGAGCGCTGGGGCCCGTGGCCACGGCTTAGCCCCTGGGTTTATGGCGGCCTTCCTGTTTTCCCGGCTCTCCTCACACTGCATCACACACAGAGTCTTTTCAATGGCCTCTAGGAGAACAGAAGAATTCATGTTTGCACGCCAGCACACACGTGTCTCACACCCTCCTGGGGGAGTGGGCCTTGCCAAGAGGCTGGTTCATGGACCTAGGGGACCCATGGGGATGGGGCCCGTGGGGTGGGGTCCATGGACAGAGAAAAGATGAGGTGAATCTATGCTCCAGGGGATCCCCCAAAGCGGAAGTGATGAGGGCAGGGCCAGGTCAACTGGAAGGTAAAGAGAAAGCTTGGTTCCCCAGGGACCTGTGGTGGCCAGGGCAACAAGGCCTCCACACTGTCCCCACCCCTATTCTCTCTAAGCCTAAATTAGCATGAAGAACAAAATGCCTCTGGGAGGTAAAGGCCAGACGCCAGGGGGCTCTCCTGAACCCCCCTCTCTGAAGACCACTCAGTTGTCCATAACAATACCCTCCCCCTCTCCCGGCCCCAGGACAAGGGCCCAGCTTCTCTACAACTGCCCTTGTGCCCCCAGCATCAGGAGTGAACATGAGCACCCAAGCCCCAACAGAGGAGAGGCCCAGCAGTGGGGTGGGTGGTGTCAGGCATTCCAGGAAGAAAGTTGGGGTGCTGCAGGACTGGGTCCCGGATTCCTAAGGGGGCTCCAAAGAAGCCCTTTTTACACACAGTCTCGTTTGACTGTGTTCATGGTCACTGTGTCAGCTGAAGAAACTGAGGCTCAGCAAGACTGACAGTTTGTCAGGTGACTGGCAAAAGGGCTGGAGTCTGAACCGGTCTCTCTGGACCCAGAGGCCCTGATCCCTTGGCCAACTCCACTCTAAGCCCCAAGAACGCCACGGGGATTCCAACCTGAGGTTTTCAGGATTGAAGGTAGGTCTTGAGGACATCTCCCCACCCTTTAGTGCCCTCACTTCTTCGCCTGCTCACATCTGCCTTTGTGAGGGCAGGTGGCTGCCTTTCATTTCAAACACCAATTAAGCAAGTTTCTCCTCCATACTGGCATGCAAGATGCCCCGAGGGAACAGTTGTCACCTGGCCCTGGGGCCAGGACTGAGCAGGCCTGGCATGCCTTGTAGGTCCCACATGGCCTGGGAAACTGCTGGAGGCCAGGCCTCACGGAGAAGCCATTTAGAAAAGCTAAATGGCCGCTGGTGGCCTCACATTCCATGGCAGTCACAGGGAAGTTCACCCAAAGCCTCGGGCATAAGTCCCAAGAGCAGCTGGGCCTGCAGAGTTCTGGGGAACAGGACCATCCCATATCCAATAAGAAGCCTTCATACAGTGGGGTAGAGGGATACCATAGGGACCACGAGAGAGGAGGGCCAGGACCCCCACCAGTATGGAGGGGCCCCATCACACCCACACCCCAGGAGCCCTTGCTAATCACCCAGGCCCCTCATCACAGCCATGTCCTGAGTGGGGCTGGGACAAACCTCACTAGGAGTGTTTGGCTGTGCTGGTTCCTTGGTAGATTAAGCCCCCTCTGCTGTTAGAGGCACCTCGCCATGTGGGTGCTGGGTAAAGAGGACTAGGCTGTGCCACTGAGCACGGTGGCCCCTCGGTGAGCACTGACATCTCCCACAGGAGGAAAGAGGAGCCCAGATGCTCACCCCACCCTTGGCTCCCAAAGCCTGGGGCTGCTTCCCAAGGACAGGACCCAGGGGCCCCAAAGGAGGGGTAGAAAGCTACAAGTTGGGGCTCAGTGCTGGGCCTGGCCCCCCTCCACCACCCTCCAACAAGTTGTGCCTCGGTTTCCCCATCTGAAAAGTGGAGTAAAACAACAGTATCTGCCTCAAAGAGTAACAGAGGTAATTCTGCCCAGTACAAAACAAATACTCAAACCAAAAATGGTTGCAACTTTATGTCAATGAGCAAGGACACTGGCCTGGAGCCCCACCTGGAATCTCGGAGTTGATCTGTATTGGACCCACCCTGTGGAGTTAACAGGCCCACCATGGCCCTTCCAGCCCCTCCCTGAGCTCCCTTGAGGCAGGATGCTCACCTATGGTCCTCCGGAGGTCTTCACACTGGCTAATGTGAGGGAACTTCAGGATTTCCTTCCACTTCTTGCTTTTCCCTTTGCGCTTTCCTCCGCCCCCTGCAGAGATGGGGGAAAGATGTCAGTTGATATTGATCTTGTCCAAGGCTTCAGAGCCTGTGTCCCATCCCAGTGAGCCTGTCCCCCAGCACCATGACTGGGAGAAAGCCAGGGGGGGAAGGGGCTCGAGGTCCAGTCAGTGACCCCAAACACCAGGCACACACACTCCATCCCCAAAGGGTCTCAATCCTTTGTGTTCTCCCTATGTGCTCAGACCTAAGCTCCCCCGGGCAGCAGCAGCACGGGAGCCCCTCCAGGCATCCATACAGGCAGCCCTACCAGGCGCCCTGATCTTCCTCGGCATCTCCCACTGCTGTCCACCCCGCTGGGTGCCTGGTATCTGGCCCAGACTAGACCATAACCTTCCCTTTAGGCTCAGGAAGTCCTTGTGGAAAGGATCCATAGCAAGTGGACTGCAGTCCCCTCACCGCTTCAATTTGTCCTCATTTCCTGTGCAGAGTCACCTTCCCCAACTGGAGGCCAGATGTTGGGGACAAGAACTTCAATTTCCACTTGTCTTAGGTACCTCCCTTCTTCTCCATCCCCACAGACCCCAGGGTCTCGGAGGATGTTTCTCAGGGCTGGAAGGACTCCTGAAGGGCCCTGTCACACCTCATGTCCTCTGCAGTGTGCGCACCTGATGAATATGCACACACTAGGAGCACATACAACGGACATGCACAAAATGAACACACACATCATGAACACAATGAACAGACATGTAATGAACACACAATGAAGATGCACACGTAATGAAAATGCAAACATAATGTGAATATGCGATGACCACATGCACACACAAGGTGTTCCCAACATCCCCATGCTCCTTATCAGGGCGACCGCAGACAGATGTCAGAGCACTCAGGTATGAAAACACCTAGGGGGCGCTCACTCTGGCCTAAGTGTCCCTGAGCCCACCAGTGTCTGGACCTTGGACCTGGAGGTGCCTCTGTGTCCTGTGGCCAGTCCCTCAAGGACTGAGATGCTGTCACCTGCCCCTGCCCTCAGAGTGGCCCTTAGATATCATCTGTCAGTGACTTGCCAAAGGTCACAAAGCCCTTTAGGCCCTTCAGTGTCTCAGAATATTAAGGGTCTTTCACCTTCCTTCATGTGATCAACATCCCAAGCACCTGTGGAGCTTGGCTCTGGGCCCACCCCCCGCCCAGTGCGCACCGCAAGGCTGGCATAGAGCTGGTCTCAATGAATGGGGATTCCTAAGTCATCCACCCTGCCCTGGAAAGCTGGGGCCGTGTCTCCAATCAGCAAGTGGGTCTGCTTCTGAGGACGGGAACAGGACCTCCATCCTAGGGGCTGGGAAGCAGGAGAGGGAGCTGATGTAGGAAGGACAGAACACAGGTCCCTTTCTCCACAATCTGCTCTTCTGGTCTTCAACCTGGCCAAACAACCCCAGCTCCCTTGTCTCAAGTGTCCATAGAAGGAAAGGCCTCAGACACCAAAAGGCAGAACAAATGTGTATTGGGCATGTGCTATGGCCAGGCACATCAAACATTATCTTGTTTAAGCCTCATTAAAATGATTATTTGGGAAGAAATCACTGGGCCAACATCACAGATGAGGAAACAGATGTCTGAGGTTACGTAACTCATCAGCTGATGGCTCTTTGCTCAGCCAGGGCACACATGTGCACACTCATGCACACACTGCAGAGCCCTCCCACTGGCCCAGCCCTGGGCTAAGCCCTCACCTGCACTCTGCTGGAGGTCTTGCTCTAACTCTATAAGGCAAAATTATTACTATTCCCATGTGGCAGCTAAGGAAACAGGCATAGGGGTTGGGGCGGGGGAGAAAGAATTGAGTGGCGGACAGCCTCACAATTCACTAATGGCAGAGCCGAGACCCCACCCTGAGCAGCATTCAGACCCCAGGCATTCACCCTCACCCTTTAGACCCCCCTTCCAGGTGCACTGAAAGCCAGGGTAATTCTCAGGGATCAAAAAGAAGTCTGGTGTCAGACATCAGAAGTGATACAGCATCAGTTAGAGGACCTGCAACAGGATCTCTCTTGCTGGGGCTCAAATTCGTGAGCTCCAAGAAAAAATGCCACCCTGGATCCGAGGCTGCATACTTGTTCTGTTTGACCCACATGTGGGTTGTTTGCCTGTTCACTGAACCAACAGTCAGGATCTAAACATTAGGAGATTTCGTGTAAAATCCATTTCAGACTTCACTGCCATAACCAGGCATCCCACATGGCAAGAATCAGCTGGAGATGGGCAGTAGCTGCCCCTGTGGACAGGCCATGTGGCCTCCATCCAGGACGAGCAGCTGCTCTCAGGGCCTTTGCACTTGCCATTCCCTTCGTCAGGGAACTTGGCAATGGGCCTCCTCAAGCTTGCACATTCAGACCGGAAGCCCCTGGATGGTGCCAGGTACAACCAGCAGCAGCATGAATGAGACCATGGAAACAGCCACCCTCCCTTCCGAAACAGTTTAGGGCGCTGCTGGTTAGTTAAAGGCACAAGGACACAGGGTGGAGAGTGGCACTGGCTACAGCAGCCCCAGGATTCCAAGGAGGGCCCCTTTCTCCTGTTGTCTCATGAAATGGCCATTGGGTTGCAAGGAGCCAGGAGGCTTGAAAAGGTCAGCATTAGGCTCACATGAGGAAGCAAATTTGTTAGAAATCTAAATTATGTTGCTGGCGGGTCTTGAGAATACACATATGGGCAGGTGGGGGACCACAAAGCTGCTCTGAGCACACTGTGATCAAGGTCTTGGAAGGTTCTCAAGTATCCTAGTGACTGTCCAAGGGAAGGATGCGCTGTGTTCCCAGCCAAGAGACGCCGATGACTCACCCCTCTCAGCCAGTCAAATGGAAGGTAGTGTTACAATTTTGCCCATGACGTCTGTGCAGCTAAAGAATCTGTTCAAATCCTTTCTGCCCAGGTGAGCTTTCAAGACTCAGTTTCCACAGCACTGCCAGCAGGGTTGCTTTTCAAGAAAACACCACCATGGGAAGGCTGTGGGTGTTCGAGGCCATGGGCACAGTGGAGGAGGCCAGTTATTCTGATGAGGGAGGGTACCTCTGGGTCTGCTGCCTCCACCCCTGCACTCCCCACCACTGATATTTCTGTCACGACCACAGTGGCACCCCCCGCTGAAGCTGATGAGGGAGGTATGTGGCATCTCACTGGGTCAAAATCTCTTTTCATTCAGCCCTAAGGCAAGATCCCAATTATAGGGCCCGATCGGGGGCTGCGTCACTGAGTGATTCGAGCCTTTTCAACAGGGACATGATTCCAGCCAAGTGTACTTGAGGTGACCTCAGCCTGCAGGGGACTTTGTCCAACTCAACACACTTGGCAATCACTGTGAAAAGGAGATCGGCCACTTGGGGAGAAAGCCCCACCCCTCTGTCCTCAGTTTTCTCATCTGGGATGCAGACAGGTTGTGCCAGGACAGGGCAACAGAACCTCCCCCCTTTCTTTTTTTCAAATCCTTGCCCAAGGATATTTTTTGCATTGCTTTTCAGAGAAAGTGGAAGGGAAAGAGAGAGGAAGATAGAAACATCGATGTGAGAAAGACACATCAGTTGGTTGCCTCCAGAGTGCTAATCAAACCCTCTACCCTTCAGTCTGAGGGCCAACACTCTAACCACCGAACCAAATCAGCTAGGGCAACAGAACCCCTTTTTCCAAAAGACTTTTTTCTTGGAGAGCCTGGCAGGTAAGATAGACAATAAGAGAGCAGATTAGGGGGGTAGGGCAGGGGAGATGGAGCTTATAAACACAAGCCAGGGACCTCATCCTGTTTTTGTGGGTCTCACTTTCTGGAAATATCCAACACTTGCAGGGTCTCTACCTCAGAGCACGCTCTTCTGTGAAGTGTCCTGGACGCCCCCCTGAATTAAGCTGATGCCTCCTCAATTCTCCCCAAACCCCTGCCCTCAGTCCCTCAGTTACAGCACTGTTCCCAAGTACTCAAGCTGGGAGGTCGGGATCTGGTGGTGCCGGGTGGAGATGCTCCCATAACTACCCAATAATTGAATATTTAGAAGATAATGTAACACATGGGGTCACCAAAGGCACCTCTGGCCTGGGTCTCCTGAGATGGGGACTGTGCCACTTACACTGGGTGGCCCAAGTCCGCAAGTCCTCAGGGCAGGAAGCAGTAGGTAGCCCTGGTGTCACTGAGTATGTCCAGCACCTTCCTGGCTGGGCATAGGACCCCAGGAGTGGGCAAGAGAGGGCAGAGGACGAGTCTAGGGGGCACAGAGCCTCTTCCTACCCAAAAGTGCTTTCCACAGCCTAACATTACCACCACCTTCACCATGTGGTGGGCTGGTCCTTCTTACCACTTCAGAGACCTGGGGTGGGCCCAAAATACCAGACTAAGCCCCAGGCTCCATCCAAAGGTGGATGCTCTGGTGCTGGCACAGCCCGGCCAGGGTGCAACCTGCCCAACCTCAGTGAAGCAAGAGGGAGAGGAGGGAGGAGGGCCTGAGCCTTTCTAGGTCCTGTTAACCGGCCTAGGAGCTGAACTGAGCTGCTAGTCAGGGGCTTCTGCTTTTTATGAGGATCCCACCAAGAGGGTGGGCAGAACCCATGGTGGGCAGATGGGAGCAGGCATCAGCACACCCTAGGCCCTGAGGCCGACTCCACCCTGTGGACAGGACATGGGGAAGGGAAGATACACCGTTATCCCGACCCCAGGACATTTCGTGGTGTTGTAGCTGTCAGCCTCAAGAACCTGAAACCTCCAGAATGTTCTTCAAAGGCAGTGCAGCGTTGAAGTGGTGTGAGGCGTGGGAGGTGGCACGGGGCATGTGGGGCCTGTGGCCTGTGGGCAGGTCCCAGCACCTCCGGGCCCCACCTCACGGCCACACCGCAGTCGGGTTTCCAGAGCAGAAAAACCTCAGCCACACCAGAAGGATCCCACACCTCAATTAGGAAAACCCAAACCAACACCAGGCCTGGTAGCTGGTCACCATGGGGATGGGAAGACACGGCCCCTCCCCAGCACACTGAACCTGAGAGCAAGTA